AAAATATTGAAAGCTGCAAGAAACATCAAAAGAAAATGGAAAGAATACAGTCACTCTATCAAAAATAACTAGTCGATATTCAACCATTACAAGAGATAGCATACGATCAAGAACTAATGATACCAAAGGAAGAAATCCAAACACACTGAAGGCATTAGCCATAAAGAAGCCTCAAGGAATTGATGGAATACCCAATGAAATGTTTCAAAGAGCAGTGAAAGACAGGAAGCACTCCACCATCTATGCCAGAAAATTTGGGAAAAACAATTTGGCCAACTGACTGAAGAGACCCATATTTGTACCCATTCCAAAAAAAGATGACCCAACATAATGTTCAAATTAAAAAACAATATCATTGATGTCGCATGCAGGTAAAATTTTGCTTGTGCAAGTAAAATTGGCTGCCAGAAATCCAAGCTAGATTCAGAAGATGATGTGGAACAAAGGATATCATTGCTGACGTCAGATAAAGCTTGGCTTAGAGAATACCGAAAATATATTTACTTGTGTTTTATTGATTATTCAAAGTTTTCAACTGTGTGAATCAGAAGCAAATATGGATAGCATTGAGAAGAATGGGAAATCCAGGACACTTTATTGTGCTCATGGATATACATGGGTCAAGAGGCAGTCATTCAGATAGAACCAAGAAATACTGCCTGGTTTAAAATCAGAAAAGCTGTGTTAAGGTTGTATCCTTTTACCATACTTAGTCAATCTGTATGCTGAGCAAATGGTCTAAGAAGCAGTCCTATGTAAAGGAGAACTGGGCATCAGCATTGGAGGACGGCTTAACAACCCTTCAATAAAGATTTGAAAACAACCTTGCTTGCTGAAAGTGAGGGGGACTTGAAGCCCTTGCTTATGAAGATCAATCATTGCAGCCTCCAGTATAGATTACAATTCATTGTAAAGAAAACAAAAATTCTCACAACTGGATCAATAGGCAACATTATGATAAATGGACAATTAGATTGAAGTCATTAAGGATTTTATCTTGCTTGAATCCACAATCAATGTTCATGAAAGCAGCAGTCAAGAGATGAAGAGACACATTACATTGGGAAAATCTGCTGCACAAGCCCACTTCAGAGTATTGAAGAGTACGGATGTTACTTTGAGGACTCAGGTGTGCATGACACAAGTCATGGTATTTCCAATCACCTCATAGCGTGTGACATTGGACATTGAATAAGGAAGCCTGAAGATGAATCAATGCATTTGAATTGTGGCACTTGCCAGGAACTGCTAAAAGAACAACCAAATTTGTCTCGGAAGAAGTATAGCCAAAATGCTTCTCAGAAGGGAGGACAGTGAGATTTTTGTCTCGCCTACTTTGGACATGTTATCAGGAGAGACAGTCCGTGGAAAAGGACCTCATGCTTAGTAAAATAGAAGGGGCTAGGGAGGAAGACCTTGAAGAGATGGGTTGCCACAGTGGCTACAACAATGAGCTAATACAATTGTGAAGATGGAGGAGGACTGCCAGTGTTTTGTTCTGTTGTTCATGGGATCACTATGACTTGCAACTAATTCAGTGGCTCCTAACAACAATTACAAGAAGGCTTGAGCCCTCTAATATGGTTTTAGTGAAGAATATTGATAGAAGTACAACTAGTCTAATGTAAGTACAGCCAAAATGTTCCTTAGAAGCAAGGATGGCTAGACTCCATCTCATGTATGTTGGACATGTTATCAGAAAGGACCATCATGCGTGTTACAATAGAGTTTCAGCAGTACTGCCTGGTCCTTGTGTCACTAAGCGTTGGCATCAATTCGATAGCACATAACAATAACAACAATCTAAACTTATTGGGTTGATTACAGGAAATACATGTAAAGAATTTGGCGCATAATCAGTAGTGATCATTATCATGAAGCTTTCATTAGTAATTTGTGAATAAATATTGCAAACAAGTATTCAATCTATTTCAGATTTTCTCTCCTATTTTTATAGCTAACAATTTTGGCAATTCTCACCAAAACCTTGTTTGTTTTATTCTACTTTCCAACAAAGTCATATTAACACTTCCTGAAGAGGGTTCATTTTACTACTAGAACTTCATTATCACCTAGATAAAATAAATAAATAAAACATGGTATTTGTTAGCTTTCTACACAGCAAATGCACAAAATATTTCAAACAAATTACATTCACACAT